TTTTGAAAAAGTGGCATTTTTGTAAAGATTTAAAAAATGCAGCATTTTTGTAAAGTGGCACTTGAAAAATCATATTTTTTGAAATTTTTCCAAAAAAAACCATTTTTAGTGTAACCGAACTGAATAAGCCAAAATCTATTAAAATTTATTTATATCTAATAGGTGTAATCACATCACATATATGGAATATTGATTAAATTATTTTTTTTTTGTTCGAAAATTGATTAAATTAATTGTTCTTTTGTATTTGAGCTATCTATCTAAATATAACAAACATGAACGAAATCAAAATTTCATCGGACTAGACTGTAATTAATTCAAACTATAAGTGATTTAATGTTTTATAAAATCAATGAACCAAAATTAATTGAATTGAATGGTGCCATATTAAAAACTTCGATGAATTGGCTACTTGACGTATTAATCAAAATCGTGTCTCAATAGATAAAAAAAAGTATTGGTTTGTAGCATCTAACTTTGTAGAAAAGCTAAAAAACATATTTTAATCTCATTTAGTTAAAATCAAATAAAATAATTCTAGAAACATAGGTTAAAACATGGGTGAATTAGCCATATAACCATATTGAGTGTTATAATAAAGCTTATAGCCATCATAAACATGTAATAAATTCAATAACCAAATGATAATTTTTTGGACTCTTTTAACCGTAAAAGTAAATGCATGAAACGTTAAAAGATGAGAGCAATTTAAAAGTAGCGGCGGCGAGAAGACAATGCGGTGGAGGAGTTGTACTTCTTCGGATGTATCCAATCGGCAGTAGAGAAAAAAATGAGAAGTTGCACGGCTGAGATTCAATCAACGGGAAGCAAGGAGATAGCAAAGAAGGAAGGCTACTGGCAGGTCCGGCCCTGAGGGCAAGCGGACCAAACCCATGCTTGTGGCCCTTGTTTTTATATAAAAATATTTTGCCCTAAATTTCAAAAACTCTTCCTTAGGCTAGTGGTATAGCAGCGATCCAGTTTAGTCAATGGTCACAGGTTCGGATCTTCCACTTTTGTTTTTTGTTTAAATAGACTAACTAAATAGTTTTCATACTTAAATTATAGAAACATATAATAAACGTAAATAAAAAAAATTGCTAATTAAAAACCTAATCACCGTCATCGACCAAAAGAAAAATTCATCACCGG